AAAAAAAAAAAAAAAAAAGAAATATGTGATAAAACTGTGTATAGTATATTTAAGTAAGGCCTTGTTACACTGTTGAATTGTTAGGTATAATATAAATTATGATAGAAATTTTTATCTGTCTCATGAAATATATAAATCATAATAGACTCCTTTTCTTTGCAGAAACGGAAGGCTTTAAGATTGATACTATGGGCACATACCATGGCATGACACTGAAATCTGTAACGGTAAGTTGTTATGAATGCGGAGGTTATTTGTTCCAGGCGTTTTATGTGAGTAGTAGATGGTAAATTTTATTCTCTAGCGTTTTCTAATTGAAATATTTATTTTTTAGTGACCATTGTACTGCTGATAGATCTGTGTGATTTTTTTTTTTTTTTTGGATTCATGAATGATATGCCCTTTTTTTTTTCCTTTCTTTTTTTTTCCAGAATCAGATTTTGAATTTATAAGTTTTTCAACTAATTTAAAACCCTGTCATTGAGATGTTTAAAGCCATTGAGTTTATGGTCATATGGGACCAATTTTTTTTTTTTCCTGATATCTTATGTTCTTTCAAATGTAATTGTCTTTGGAAAAATAAAAATGGGATTGGGCATGTAGCATAGTGGTAGAGTCCTTGCTTAGACTGCTTAATGACATGGAGTCAGTTTCCCAATCAGCCAAATGAGTAAAAAGAGTGTAGTAGTTGATGGAGTGCTTTTAAAAAACACTTGATGGAACCAAATATTTATATATTTATGAATATAAGTCTTTGTTTCAGAGACTTAGCTAGCTCATTTTTCTCTTCCTCCCCTTCTTTCTTTCCCTCCTTCCCTCCCTCTTTCCCTCCCTTCCTCCCTCCCTCCCTCCCTTCCTCCCTCCCTTCCTCCCTTCCTCCCTCCCTTCTCTCTTTCTCTTCTCTTGCTCTTTCATTGTACATCCCCTCCTCCCCCCCATGCTGTCTTTCTCACTCTTGCTGTGTTGTTTTTAGCTTGGACTTAGAACTCCTGGGCACCAGCAATCTTCCTTTCTCAACTTCCTGAGTAGCTGAGACTGTTGACTCTCTTTAAATTTTTTTTAATAGCTTGGCTAACTTCTTTCTGTTTGACACCTCTCGTTATTGTGTAGTAGATGATAGTATTTGATGATACAGGTCAGGTGTACTTTAATTTCATTTTGCATTTCTATATTCTGATGCGTATCTCTTACACTTTAAAATACTATGCGTATGCATTAAGTGTCTATATACTTAAGATCTAAAAGTGTTACTTTTGTCTTTGCTTGTGAGTCATCAGAGATTTACAGACCTCACATGACATGAAATCATAATATATTTGTTGTGATTTCTGAGTTCAGATTTAATCTTTATACTTAGAATTTGCCATAAAAATCTATTGAAGTTTTGACTTTTTTAATTTAAATTGAGACTCTATCAAGTATTTTGCTAATAGACTTTTAAATGATCAGATTTGTTTTTATATATTGAAATTGTGTGTAGGCTTACAGATTCATTCAACAGGTATTTATTGAGAATTTGTGTCCGGTGTTTGACTCTGAATACTTCCAGTGTAACTGCTTCCCAGTGCAGTCAAAGAGGCCTCTCTGAAGTCAGAGTTGAGCAAGTCCTGCCAGAAGAGCATTCCCTGCAGGAACAACAGGCTTAGAAACTGACTCAGTAGACAAGTGATAAGGCCAGTGTTTCCTGTCCAGTGAGCAAGAGCAAAAGTGGTACAAGATCAGATAGAGCTATCTTATGCCTTTTCTTTGCTTGTTTCTGATTTCAGAATGTAACTAATGGTGGTAAGGTTTAACTTACTTCTTTGTTGGTTTATATTTTTTAAAGACAGGGTCTCACTATATGGCTTTGGTTGTTCTGGAACTCAGGGTGTAGACCAGGCTGACCTTGAACTCACAGAAATCCACCTAGCTCTGCCTCCCAAGTTTGCTTGTACAACTAAGAGGATGTGCCACCATGCCTGGCTTGAATTAAATTCTTATGTGATTCAGTTAGTTGATGCTGTCTTGGAGATAGCATTTGTCTGTTGCTGATTCCCAAAGTCAATTGTTCCCTTGCCAGGGAACTGAAGTTATTCTTCAGTAACCATTAAAAGTTAAGTTTTTTTGTTAATGTTTTCTTCTTACTCATGACTCTGAGTGCCATGGAATTCGTTTTTATTATAAGAGCGTCTACATTTAAAAGGTGAATTTAAATAAGCTTATACTCTATGAATTTAAAGAATAATCACTCACAATAAAATAATCATAAAAAGGATTGCTTAGACTGCAGCAGAAAGACTGAAAGTGGTCACGTGGCTGGTTGGCTTATTTCAGTAACTGGTTTGAGTCCGCTACTTTCATGTGCTGATTAGTTGCTAGAAAGAGAATATACAGACCAGTAATGTTTTTAATAAGTGTTTATTTTTAGTTAGTCCTCAAATTTATCCTTCCTATTTAGTATTTTTCCCTTCTCTTTTCTCTTGAAATTATCATTTGTGAGCTGCAACAACTTCTTACCTCATCCTGTTGTTCAGAAAATTTCTCTTGTATTATCAAGACAGGTGAATGTGTATTAAATGTAAAAGGTTTTATTGCCCATAAGAGATTTCCTTGCTTTTATATGTATAATTCATATTTGCTAATGTTCTTAAAATTTTTAATGTGCCTAGTTCATGTAGTTTCTGAAATTAGGATTTATCTACATTAGGCTTAATCTTTGTAACTTTTAACTTGAATATCAGAGATCTCTTGATACATGACTAAATCAGTACATTAATAAATTTTATACAAAATATTTTTTTCTATATGTATTAGACAAGGCTTGTGTTTTAGTGGTCATTTCATAGCTCTAAGTTACTAAAACTTGTATGAATAAAAGTCCTAAGC